CAGACCTCAGCTTCTCTGTTTAATCTTTTGATTTCTCCTGCCAGTGCTACTTCCCTCAGGCAGATCCATAGCAAGTAGCTTCTTTTGATGAAGAAAAGCATATGAAGATGATACTGAAAACTTTCCCTGCACACCTAACTTCCATCTCCACTTATCTCTCACCATCAAATCAATCCCCTGAATTTGTAGTACGGCTTCACAATCCTCCTGTGCAATCAAATCTCTCACCCTTTGGGTATTCCATCTATTTCTGTTGCCATCAAGCAGTTCCTGGAAAGATATATCTTCCCCTTCAACACTTTCCTTCAAGTGGATTCTCCTGCCTCTTATGCATGGCACCCAATTATAGTCACTAAGCTTGACAGAGGCTTAATCTTTAATTTTCACCTGAAACCCCTCTCTCAACAGCCACCTCACTTTCCACCATGATCTCCACATCCAGGAGGAATTTTGATTCAACTTAGCTTCAAAAATAGATGATTTAGGGAAGTATCTGCATTTGATGATTTTACTCATAAGCAGTTGAGGTTTAGTAACTACTCTCCAGATCTGCTTGACTAGCATCGCATCATTGAACAGCTCCACTTCCTTAAATCCCAATCTACTCTTATCTTTGGCCAGTGTAAGGAGTTCCCATCTCTTCCAGTGCACCCCTTTATTCTGCTTCCCTCCACTACTCCACCAAAAATTTGCAAAAATGCTAATTACTTCCTTACAAACGCTAGCAAGAAATCTGTAGCAGGACATGACAAACAAGGGTAGAGCATTGAGCACAGCTTTGATTAGGACTTCTTTCCCTGCACAGGATAGGTACTTATTCTTCCAACTGACTACCTTTTTCTCACTGCCTCAGTCAAAAAGCCAAACACTTCCTTCTTTGTTCTCCCAATGCCAAGTAGCATGCCCAAATACCTGGTTGACCTCTGAATTTGAATGCCAGGGAATACACTGCACACTTCCCTTTGGGCAACATCACTTGTGTTTCTGCTAAAGAATATGGAAGATTTGGCTGTATTTACTTTTGGTCCATAGAACCTTTGGTATCTTGAGAGTACAGATAATAAGACATGTGTCTGATATTTAGTAGCTTTGCAAAAGACCAATGAATCATCTGCAAAGAATAAGTGAGTCAAACACAGGTGCATCTCGTGCCACAAACACTCCCCCGAAAACTCCTCTTTCCACTTCATTTGCAATCATAGAAGAAAGGACTTCAGCAACTAAAATGAACAAGTATGGAGACAAAGGGTCTCCTTGCCTGAGATCTCTCTGAAGTTAATATATCCTGAAGTGCAGCCATTAATGATGAAAGAAAAGGACACTGTTGACACACACTCCATAATCCATTTCACAAATTTAGAGGCAAAACCCATCTTAAGCATGGTGAGTCTGATACAAGACCATTCAATCTGGTCATAAGCCTTCAACATGTCTAATTTAGCTTCCATAAAGTTATGTTTCCCTGTTCTGTGGCGATTTAAAAAATAAAGCCCTTCATTTGCAATAACCACATTGTCAGTTAACAGTCTTCCTGGCAAGAAGGCTGGTTGAGCTTCATTAACACATTTATGCACACAGTTCCTTGATCTTCCAGCCAGGATTTTTGAGATTATTTTGTAAACCACAGCACACAAACTTATTGGTCTAAATTGGCTCAAATTCTCAGGCACAATACATTTAGGGATGAGTGTAATAATGTATGATTCCAGTAGGGAAGTAGCTGACCTGATTGAAAGAAGCTTGAAATGGCAGCACACAAGTCCTCTCTGATCAAGGGCCAGAAATGTTGGAAAAATAAGGTCGGCATCCCATCAGTACCAGGAGATTTCCTGGGATTCATAGAGAAAAGAGCTTGTTTGATTTCTCCTTCTTCAACAGGTGCTAACAGTTCCTCATTGTCCTCCTCAGTAATGGAAGAATGCACACAATTCATAACCCTTTCACCCCCCTCTGATCCTTCTAATGTGAATAGTCTAGAGTAGAAGTCTTCTACATGCTTTTCAATCTCTTCCTTGGTCTCACAAACTCTATTTTGTTCAGTCATCAGCCTTGATATAACATTTGTCCTCCTTCTCTGGGTAACCCAAGCATGGAAAAAGTGGGTGTTGTGATCCCCCTCTTTTAACCATTCTACTCTTGATTTTTGTTGCCAGTACAACTCCTCACTTCTGTTTGCTTCATCCATCTCCTTTTGAATCCTATCCCATTCTTCCCAATTTCTTTGCCCTCCTTCCTCTCTCATCTCTTGCAATTTCAAGGATAACCTCTGTCTATGCATTCTTTCACTGGTTCTAAACTCTTGGCTCCAATTAATCAAGGCTACTCTAGTTTTCTTTATCTTCTCTTTGAGGTTGTACATTGGTGTGCCTCCTTGCTGCCCTTCCCAAGCTGATTGGATTATCTCACCTATCCCTTCTCTGCCCAGCCACCTTTTATCTAGCTGAAATCTTCCCTTCTTCTGCTGGCTGTCAGAAGCTTCCTCTAATAGTAACATATGATGGTCTGATGAGCTCTTGAACAAAGCAGTAGTTTGAGTCATGGGGAATTCTTCACTCCCTCCCAAAGAAGCATATGCTTTATCTAGTGCCTCCTCAACAAATCCCTCATTCTCTCTGTTATTTCCCCATGTATAGTGGTATCCCTTTCTGAGCACCTCTTCCATCCCCATGTCAGCAATGAAATTTTGGAATCCCCTCATGCTTGCTTGAGTTCTCTGTCTGCCTCCTCTTTTGTCCTCCATTTTAGCAACATCATTCCAATCACCAATCATACACTATCTGTCTCCCCATTTATCCTTCTTCAGCTCTAATTCACTCCATTGAGTTTCTCTGGTCCCTCTATCTGGGCTTAAATAGGCAAATACTACCCATCTATCATTACTATGAGTTCTGAATTCTACCTCAATGTTGTAGCCATCATAGACCATATTCCTAATCTCTACCTCTGGAACCCATGTTAGCGGCAATCCTCCACTTAGCCCTCTTGGAGCCACCATTAAATTTCTATCAGCAAATCCCAAATTTTTGCAAACTGTCATAGTAAACTTATTAGTGTTTTTTTAGTTTCTGACAATAAAATAAAATGTGGGTGATGGAGTCTAAGGGACTCCTTGAGCTGGGGAGTTGTAGAAGCCCCACCCAGGCCTCTACAATTCCACACCAGAGCTCTCATTGGTCACCTTGGGGCCAATTGAGGCTGGCCTTCTCCACCTTCTTTGGACTGCTCTTTGCCTTATTAGGATCTGCTTCTTCCACCAAGTTCTCCTCCTCCACCGGTATTAAGGTAGTGCCTCTTTGTCTTCCCCTTTTCATTCCTTGCATTTAGATCCCTTTACTCTCCCTTTGGTTCCTTTGGAGTCTGTCTACTTTATTGCCAATTCTCTTCCAAGTTTTCTGTTTGGAAGATGTGCTCACTTCTAACTTACTCTCCACTCCCATGGGAACCATCATGAGACTCTGATTAGGCATTTCAGTGCACATCTCCTCTGGCGAAAATGGCTCTTGTTCCACCACCATTGTTGGTTGATTAGTTTGCTGACCCAGTTTAATACCCTTCTCCACATCCCTTGCATGAGAACTGGCAATATCTTTCCTTGAGGAGCTAGATTTCACCATGCTTGGATTCTTTGGCACATGCTCAGCTACAGTTCTCATCACCACTTCTTTACCTGTCACTCTACCCACCAACTGGCTATCTTCTTTCTCTTGAGAGCCATAAGTGTTGTCCTGCTCATCAGATCTCGTTTGCTCCCTCTCAAAAGACTGACTAGTGTGTCCTGGGCTACTGAAGTTTTTGAATTCCCCTGCCTTAAGCCATTCTCCATACTGCCCCACTTTAATCTCCTCCTTTTCAATATCCTCTTCTTTGCTAAGACAATCTCTATCCAGATGCCCTAAGAATCCACAGTAATAGCACAGATTGACCAGTCTTTCATATCTTAAGCTTACTGTAATTAGTTTCTCCCAGTCTCAGAGTAGTACAACGTAGTATAGCCTTAGTGACATCAACTGCATCAAGCAATCTAATAATGCGCCCTCATGCTCCCAATGCCATTGTGATTGTCACTTTCTTCACCTTCTTAAACCCCTTCCCCACTTTGAGCCCTACTTCCATGCTCAACTACTCTAGAGGAAGATTGTACACATGAACCCACAAGTTAACTTCATCAAAACTGCTATCTGTCACCTTAATGCCTTTTCTCCACTCCTGTAGATATTGGTTCTCAAAAATCCATTTTGTTCCCAGTAATACTTTCTTCATGTCTAATCGATTTTCAAAGATGAACTGGAAGTAGTTGAAACTGATTTCTCTAACCTCCATGCCTTGTTGCGTTCTCCAAATGCCTGCCATCGTTCGCTTCAGTCCAACCAACAAAGCTCTTCTATTGCCAATAACCTTCCCCAGAAGGCTACGCTTACACTTCTCTGCACTGTCCTTGATGTCGTCATTTGCAATATCAATTACTTCACACTCCATACCTGCTAACGAAAAAAATTTTAGTCGATTAGTCATCTCTTCCTCAAACTCTCCTATTCCTTCTCTGTCTCCCATTCTACCCGCGTCCCTAATAACCCTATCACACCCCTCTGGATAAAATCTAAACCTGCCCGAACAGCCTCACAACTCCCTCACCCACGATGGAATCTTTCCCCTCACCCGACGGAATCTCAGGAAACCCTCACTCGACGGAATCGCCCTCTCACCCGAGAGAATCACAAACAGGTCCCGTGATGACAATTGAATATAAAGTGTCTTTTATCGCTCTCACCAATTGATGTCTGTCAATTTTCATATTAAAAAATCAACATTCAATCTTTGTGTGATGATCAATCATATCTCTGTGCAGCCCCGACAATAATACTCGATAAATCCCCTTGCTTTTGAACCCAAAATGGTCATCTCAAACGTCATACTTCCCGTCCTATTTTACCCCTTCACCTATATTACTTTCCCAACTCCTTCTCTCCAATCACACACACAAACACACACATAGTAGAGCAATGGATTCGCCACACCCACATGTGCTCCTTGTAACGTTTCCCTTCCAAGGCCACATCAACCCGTCCCTCCGCTTCGGCAAGCGGCTCTTGAGTATCGGGATCGACGTCACCTTTGCCACGAGCATCCACGCTCGACAACAGATGGAGAAAACTGCCATCGGCCCCGCCCCCATCGGCCTCTCCTTCGCCCCCTTCTCTGATGGCTTCGACGATGGGTTCAACTTGAACCAAGACGACCACAAGAGGCATATGACCGAGATAAAGAACCACGACTCTACAGTGGCCCGAGAGTTCCAATATGGGCCGACCTGTGACCTGCCTCGTCTACACTCTCCTCCTACCGTGGGCCTCTACAGTGGCCCGAGAGTCCCAAATCCCCTGCGCCCAGCGCCCTCCTCTGGATCCAGCCTGCCACTGTTCTCGACTTGTACTATTACTACCTCGATGGCGCGTTTGGCGATATTAGCAGTGTCAGGCTGTCGGCGCTTCCGCAAATTACCTTCTCCAAGAAGGACCATCCTTGCTTTGTTTCTCTTTCCACCTCGGATATGTATGTAAAACGAGCTAATATATAAGATTGTGTTTTCTGTCAAAATTTATGTTGAAAATATCTTACGGGTGCACCATCTTCATGTCCCACCACTGTCCGTCGGCAGGTGGCTTGAACATATCCCCGTCGCATTCTGTTTTAGCGTTCGTTAGGCTAGACCTTTCTTTATTGTACCGAAAAAAAAAAATACCTACAACTACTTAATTGTGCTTTTTTCCCTGCAGGTACAATTTAGTGCTCCCGACCTTCAAGGAGCAGTTCGACGCGCTGGATGCCGAGACGAGGCCGAAGGTTCTCTTCAACAAGTTCGACGCGCTCCACTCCATCGAGCGCTACGACGTGATTGGCGTGGGCCCGCTCGTGGACGCTGATGACCGGCCCTCGTTTAAGGGCGACCTGTTCGGGAAATTCGAGGGATGCATCGAGTGGCTCGACTCGAAGCCTAAATTGTCGGTCGTGTACGTCTCGTTCGTGAGTCTCGTGAGCCATGAGAAGGCATAGATGGAGGAGATCATGAGGGGGCTGCTCAGCTCAGGCAGACCGTTCCTGTGGGTGGCGCGGCCGCCGTCCGGGGAGGAGTCGATAGGGTGCGTCGTCGAGGAGCTTCGGGCGCTGGGGAAGATTGTGGAGTGGTGCCCGCAGATGGAGGTGCTGAGCCACAGGTCGGTGGGGTGCTTCGTTACGCACTGCGGGTGAAACTCGACACTTGAGAGCTTGTGGTGCGGGGTGCCGGTGGTGGCGCTCCCCGTGTGGTTGGACCAAGGGACGAACGCGAAGATGATTGAGGAGGAGTGGGGGACTGGGGTCAGGGTGGGGCCCGAGGAGGACGGGAAGGTGTCGGGGGAAGAGATCACGAGGTGTATCGAGAGGGTAATGGAAGGAGGGGAGAAGATGAGGGAGAATGCGGCCAGGTGGAAGGGTCTGGCAAGGGAGGCCGTGGCTGAGAATGGATCTTCGTATAGGAATTTGAAGGCCTTTCTTCAAGAAGTTAGAGTTGGGGCATTTGAATAATTAGTTTGTGTTTTGGTTGCTAATTTTTTTTTTTCTTTTTTTTTTCAAAAGTTCAATTTTTTTGAGAAATGAATGATGGAACTTGTGAAAGAGTATAATAGAATTATTTTCAAATCTGCCCTTTGAGCATCTCCAATGCTATGAGTTTGAAAGACCATTATTTTTAACACATGTCAATTAGTGATTGTAATATTAATTTATGTTGGGATAATGTTAAAAGAGTAAAAATTTGAATGAAACTAGTATCTCCAATGCATAAATTTGATAAGAAGTTATTTGTATAGGTGGATCAATTAAATAATTCATTGATACAAGAAAAATAAAAAATTAAAACAAATATAAAGTAAATTGATGAGTCATCATGTTTAACATGATGTTAGATATTAGAATGTGTGCTCAACATTGTCAACATTAAATGACATCCACCTCATCATGAAAGAGTTCATGACAAGATGCATTGGAGAAAAAAATAGTAACACATTTTCAAAAGTTGATGATATGGATGACTTTTTATAATGTCAAAAGTCACATTGGAGATGTTCTTAGCTTCGTGTTTGATTAGTTTTGTTAAGTTCGTTTCTTTTGG